GCCCTATTAGAGCTGACGCTATTGAAATACGTGGAGATAGTTTAATTAGATCTGGCAATATGTACGTACATATGTATTGTATAAGTATTTAGTTGGTTGACAAGAGATGTTATTGTGTTTGGTTGGAGAGTTATGAAAAGTCAGGACTGAGCAATGACAATATTGACATGTGAATGTTTCCATCGCAACGCTAGGTACCGTGGTTGTTCTCGAGGAGGCTTTCTCGCTTGAACTCCTTTACTGTGGGAAGTTGCGTCGCAAAACTTCAATACAGCACATTATATTGAATAAACGGCACGTATACTTCATGTTTACATATACCTCATATGCATATTGTAGCTGTCACATTGTATAAGGCAATAACAGACGAAGAAGCATAGGTCAACTCCCTCTACTAGTTACGCGGAAGATACTGTGCCGTGTATGTGACGTAGTGACATAAGCTCCGCCCACTCATGAATATTCATGATTTCTGTGCACTTAAGACCATTGTAGGTTTAAGGGCACAACATACGTGTAGTGACAGCTTCCTCACACTCCACATTATTACATCAACACGCAACTACATGTTACAAGTCCGGTATTACTTTACCCATACAGGGTCATCCGATATTGCTGTCTTGCTGCATAAAAGATGGACTGTTGCATGGTCAGGATCACGGCTGTTGATCACTGGAGTGTCTGGTCAAGACTCGATTATTTACAGACCGCCGCCATATAGCTGGAATATTGCTGAGTGAGGCGTAAAACTAAACTCACTCACTCACTCACACAATTAACAAGAACAGGTTGCTGGGAACATATAGTCTTACGTACAATTACCACCTCATATGTTAAGTCGGGTTGTGACAAAAGGCAAATGTTGCTGGGAACATATTCTAACCAAGAAAGACCACCTGGCCTACTTGGTTGCGTATGGACAACCAGCACAGGATGTTGGGAACACATTCTAACCCAGAATGACAGCCGATAGATTTGGCTGCGTCTTGACAACCAGCACAGGTTGCTGGGAACACATTGTAACCCAGAATGACAGCCGATAGATTTGGCTGCGTCTTGACAACCAGCACAGGTTGCTGGGAACACATTGTAACCCAGAATGACAGCCGATAGATTTGGCTGCGTCTTGACAACCAGCACAGGTTGCTGGGAACACATTGTAACCCAGAATGACAGCCGATAGATTTGGCTGCGTCTTGACAACCAGCACAGGTTGCTGGGAACACATTGTAACCCAGAATGACAGCCGATAGATTTGGCTGCATCTTGACAACCAGCACAGGTTGCTGGGAACACATTCTAACCCAGAATGACAGCCGATAGATTTGGCTGCATCTTGACAACAGCACCTGGGATCTAACCCAGAATGAGCCGATAGATTGGCTGCATCTTGACAGGTTGCTAGGAACCAGCACAGATAGATTTGCAACCAGCAGCACAGGTTGCTGGGAACACATTGTAACCCAGAATGACAGCCGATAGATTTGGCTGCATCTTGACAACCAGCACAGGTTGCTGGGAACACATTGTAACCCAGAATGACAGCCGATAGATTTGGCTGCATCTTGACAACCAGCACAGGTTGCTGGGAACACATTCTAACCCAGAATGACAGCCGATAGATTTGGCTGCATCTTGACAACCAGCACAGGTTGCTGGGAACAATGACAGCCGATCGGCACAGGTTGCTGGGAACACATTCTAACCAGAATGACAGCCGATCGGTTTGCGTCCTGACAACCGGCATATCTTGCTTGAAACCACCTCAAGCTGACATCCCAGTGGATCCCACTGATGTGGTCAGATAAGATGATACGAATCCCCTAAGCTGTGATATGGAAACAACAAAAGAATTTGTTCCAGTGCATTCAACCTTTTGGCAAAGACCAAGGTTACATGTTTTATTCAGCCAAAGAACAGACACACCAAGATTTTAAATATTTAGTGTAATAACTTAGTATTACAATGCCATATCAACTGGAATAGTAAACATACAATACTCTATCACATCATCACAGTCAACACTATGTCCCAAATGGATCCCCAAGTTTGAATACAATACAACTATATATTTGCTGGGGAGATACAGCCCTTCTAGCAAGACCAGTCTTATGTAGGTGCTCCCCTCAACCTTCTGAAAATGACAGTGGTCTCTCTTTATATATATATGATGTACGGAGGTCGTATAGCAATACACTCCGAATTACCATACTTGGTGTATGTCTCAAGACACTATCTCCAAATGGATCCTTGATTGTGAACACAATACACCTATTTGCTAGGGAGATATAGACCCTATAGCAGGACAACTGTTACGAAGGTGCTCGGCACGACCTTCTGAAAATGGCAAAGAAATGGTATCACTTTATATGTGTATGATGTACGGAGGTCGCATAGCAATAGGCTCCGAATTTTCATACTTGGTGTATCTCTTAAGACACCCTCTTGCAAATGGATCCTTCCATGCAGGTAGCAAAGGTACTGTAAGTCCCCATGGTCCCTGGTATGGTGATCTACCTTCAGTTGTTGGCGATCTATAGCCTGTTTTTATATTGTATTGTCCAAATATTGCTATTAGTTTTAACTTTCCACACTAGTTTTAATTTTAATTGTGATATTCTAGTTGTTTTACTGTCCTTTAATGACAGGTTTTTATAATATACACATATTCCATTTCAATGTCAAATATGTTCTCGTCACGATATGGCTTAAATATTGCCGATGTGACGTTAAATATTAACTCACTCACTCACTCCAAATGGATCCCCAAGTTTGAATACAATACACCTATTTCCTGGGGAGATATAGCCCTTCTAGCAAGACCACTGTTACGTAGGTGCTCGGCTCGACCTCTGAAAATCATATACTAGTATATGTATGATGTACGGAGGTCGTATGAAAGACACTAAACTCCCATCTCCCACATGATCCCAAAGTTTGAGGTACAAGTGTTCAGTAGGTGCAATCTTGACCTTCTGTAAAGCAATAGACACCAAACTCCCATACTTGATGCAACTCTTAAGATGTCATCTCCCACATGGATCCCAAAGTGTTGAACACGCTACAAGTGTTCAGTAGGTGCTCCCTCGACCTTCTGAAAATGGCATAGTAATGGTATCTCATTGATATGATGTAAGGAGGTCGAATAGCAATAAAAGCCAATTCGAATACTTGGTGTATCTTTGAAGACGCTATTCTCTGCTATAAAACATAAAAATAATGTCGAAACACCGAGGCCAATGTGAAAGTGAAATGTGTACCATGGCTACGTGAAAAACGATTTTGATTGGTCAATCAAAAAATAAAATCAATTTTGGATTAAAAAAATTCGTCTGATTTCATGACCGCTTCACTGCGCACGTACGCAACAACACTGCCACATCAGTTTGACCACCAACATGGCTAATATCAACACAACAGACGTGATGGAAATGCTGATAAACATTTATTAAAACTCAAAAAAATACAATTATTATATGATTTTTTTCCTCCACAATTATTAGGGAACCTCACTATCATAATTATTACCTTCTATAATGAAAATATTCAAACTCAGTTACAATACACAGCCCTAAACATAAACAAACAATATCTAACATGTAAATCAGAAAGCCTTGTAAATTTCATCCCCATCTATACAAAATGTGCAGCAAATCCTTATTAAGTATTTACCTACCTGGTAAATGGTATATTTGTTTCCATTTAGAATCATAAGAATGGGAAATTCGCAAGATAACGGTCAAGATAACGGTCAAGATAACGGTCAGGCGAAACACAGAACTTACGCCGCTCACACTCAATCATGTCCCGTTGCATAGTTAAAAAATACATGTTAAAAAATTGAACCACCAGAATTCCGCCTTCTGCCAGCTTCCCACAAGGCTGTCACTGCTGGTGATCTATGTTCGTACACTTTGAATAAAGTTTGTCAACAATCCAGTCCCAAATGATGAAAACAATGTTCCATGAAATCCCAAGTTAGTCGCATGTACACAAAGCAGCACTGTCACTCTTTTTCGTCGCATGCCGGGGTGGAGGCACCTACAGCCTATGTAAGTGAAATCATGATCCACACTCGCTGGTCATACAAATCTTCCAATAGTTACAGGTCGTAGGTCGATCAGAAAAAGGATCTATTCTTCGATTCTGCTGGGTTCAGATTCGACAGTCAGTCAAGTATTTTCCACTGTCACTCAAAATATAAACACTGGCTGTCCGCCATTTCAAACTGTTGCGTAACTGTCAACAACTACAGACTGCACTTCCAAGAAAATAAGTAGGTCAGACGATTCCATTATAGTGTGGCCAGGGGTTAGAGTAACACGGCACGCAAAACAATAGGCTGGTTTTTGGTCGTGTGGGTTGGGATTATATAAACCAAGCTCTTAGGTATTACATTATTGCATTGAATAAACAGTAGTTAGTTTTCTTTGGACAGAATATTATGTATGTTGCAATGTTTAAAAAATACGAACGGCACCTTCCACTCCCTTTACAGACGAGTTCAATTCGCCTCTCGCACCATGCCGGATTTCGCAGTGTTTTCCGTGGAAGGAAGGAGTTCGATTTTAAATTGGTTATGGTAGAATGGAGATAAACGTATTGTGTTGTAAAATTAGATGAATGTTAGGCAGAATTGTTCTTTAAATTAATCATTTGAAACCTCACGCTACGCGTTCGATTCCCAAATGAAATTGAGAGACTATCAATTCTGCCTAACATTCATCTAATTTCCCAACACAGTACGTTTATCTCCTAAATAATATTACTTGTTTCATAGAATAAGTGTACCTTTGCGTCGATGTTTTAACACTTTTAGCTTTCTTTTTCAAACACTGCTCCAAAACCCATCCTAAAGACCAATGATCCTCTTACATTTCGTTTGGTTAATTATTTAATACTTTTTCGGAAAGAAGGCGTTTACCGTGGAGCGATAGCTTTAACCACTTGGCTACCCCACAGCCCCCGTTCAACACATATCCACAAGCAACAGAACAGTACATCTTCAATCGTGCGTTTGCCAGCATCTACAACGTGTAATGTCAGATCTACTTGCGGCATCTTGATAGGAAATGTATCATTTTAAACCACGTACAAGCAATTACATTTCTGCAGGAAATACGGCATATCTCGGGAAGGCAGATTGGCCTCATTGTTGTCTGTCAGGAAGCCGCTATGAGTTTAGTTTTCCGTTGACCTCTTGACTTCCTGCCTATCATACACACGCAGTCACCAGAGTCTCCAACCGTCCACAACACGACTTACAGCTTCTTTGAACCTATATTCTATTTGTCAATATGGCGGGTAAGAGTTTTACTTGTTTGAGTGGCATTTTAGAAGTTGAGACGTACAATATGGAACAAGTTTTTATGGATAACAACTTCTTAATTTCGTGAGTGCGACGTTTCGATACAGATTCTTGTACCGTTGTCAAGCAAGCGGTGATACATGAAGTGGAGGAGCTGCATATTTATACTGTGTATAACAATGAAACAACATACATTGTAATTGACAAAGGAAACAACATATTGCCATATTGGTTAAGCAGTAAGCTGATGAAGCCAGTGAGTACCCAATCTATTGTATAAACATCGCACCCATTGTATAAACATCTCCTTCATTGTACCACTCCTGTATTTATACATCTCTGGCTTCCATTCACTATCCTCTGTGTACTCACTGGCTTCATCAGCTTACTGCTTTAACCAATTATGGCAATTATGTTGTTTCCTTTGTCAATTACAATGTATGTTGTTTCATTGTTATACACAGCATAAATCTGTATCGAAACGTGGCACTCACGAAATAAAGAAGTTGTTCAAAACTTGTTCCAAAGAGTTTTACTATAAAACAGCTGCTGGTCTTTCACGAAGAGTGACGAATTCATATTTGGTTTCTGAATTATCTTAGTTACTTGCACATGGGTAATGCATGCATCTCGTATTGATGGGAGTTGTACTGCATGCACTTCTGTTACCGTCATACAGTATACACACATGTATGCATTGAATGTTCATGACTCCGGAAATATATTCTACAATATATCATATGTGAGTGAGTTTAGTTTTCGATCGTATTTAAACTAAACTCACTCACTCACTCCGTCTGAAACGATTGTTGTTCAGACATATCCCCTTAACTCTCTAGTGCCCCGTGTGCATGTATCATGTATACAACATTTAACCTGTGTGATGACTATATGCTGCCTGACGATGTAAGGGTTGTCTCCCTTAGACTACCTTGGAGAATTCCATACTGCACTTTCGTGCAAGTGGAAGATTAGCTTTTCACACAGATCATACAAAATAGTCAGTGCCATGTTGACTGCTTGTACCCCTGCATTCGGATTTTCATTCGTACAGTTTACAGACGAAATACTATATTTTAAAAATTAAGATGAAACGCACGTTTTTTCCTATTCGTATATAAACGATGACATGTATAAACGTAAGAGAGCGAACCTGACCACGTCATTTCGTTAATCACGTGTAATGTGTGTGCGTGTGCCCAGATCGTCATGTATACAAGTGAAGTATTAAAGAAATGGTTGTAAGTAGTAGTAGTAGTGGTAGTAGTGTAGTTGTGTGTAATAGTTGTAGTTGTGTGGTAGCAGTAGCAGTAATGTATGTATGTATGTATGTATGTATGTGTGTGTGTATGTATGTGTGTGTGTGTGTATGTATGTATGTGTGTGTGTGTGTATGTATGTATGTATGTATGTATGTATGTATGTATGTATGTATGTATGTATGTATGTATGTATGTATGTATGTATGTATGTATGTGAGTGCGTGCTTGTTTGCGTGCATGCATGTATGGATGGATGGGATGTATGCGATGCGTGCGTGCGTGTGTCTGTGTTTGTGCACCCATACAGCGTGCCTATTTCACTCACTGTGTTGTGGTTGTATAGCTGCAGCTTACAGTTCCTGGCCCTGGGACCTGATTGACGCAAATAATGCAGTCTGCTGTTAAAGTTGCATAAACGCTGCATGGCTGGGTAATTTGCTCTTTCAAGGTTATTTTCAAAGAACAGTTTGAATAGGTAATGTTTCAACAGCTTGAATAGGCAATGTTTCAACAGTTTGAATAGGCAATGTTTCAACAGTTTGAATAGGCAATGTTTCAACAGTTTGAATAGGCAATGTTTCAACAGTTTGAATAGGCAATGTTTCAACAGTTTGAATAGGCAATGAACTCTATGTAGACAAACTAGAAGTGCTAACCCAACAGTATAGCCAGATATTTCAAATTGGACAGTTCCCAGATTTGTGAGTTTAGGGTCATATGTTAAATCTTGTATGAAGACTGACCCACACAACTATAAGGGATTGGTATATATAATTGGTAGTACACGTATATCTTTACATTATATCCTCCATGTATTCTAAGCTTACATCAGGTTTTAGCAACAGCTGCGAGCCCTACTTCTTCGTTCAGGTGTGAGGTCGGTATCTGGCAGTCTGCCGCTATTCATTATACATGTATTTATTAACAGGGTTATCGCAACTTTGGACGCATCTGGCGGAAAGGGCGTTCACCAGTCTAAGTAAACTTAGGCTCAGTATTATTTCGTTACACTGCTATACTGAGTCTAACAAAACCTTGTGGAAGGTCGCGTCAGGTAACCTTTTCAGTTGGGCAATCAGAACACAGCTTACCAAATTGCGAAAGTTGACATTCGCACATACCGTTTGAACTTTTACCTCGAAAAAGTTTTGTACCCGAACGATTCCGAATGCTATTTTCCGTACGATCGCTTCCGAGTGATGCACATGGTGCACGCCAAAACCGTGAGTAAACAGTCGCTGAAAATAGCGTTTTGTCAGTATTCAAGGATGTCAGATTGCGGAAATATTAGCTAATGATAACCATGTCAACAGAAACCCCAAAGCGTGTATTGTGCAGGTCATATATCTGTGTTTAATGAGGGTTTTCATTTGTTGTGAGATCAGTGCTGGCGACCGGGGAAGAGTAAATTCATTTTGTAAGTCCCGCCGAACCCTTAATAGTAGCCGTTGTCTGATTGTTTAAATCCGTTCTGTCTTCTCGCGTTTGATTGGACGGTCATAGGTCGCTCAAAGGTTACCTGACGCGACCTTCCACAAGGTTTTGTTATACTCAGTATAGCAGTGTAACGAATAATACTGAGCCTAAGTTTATTTAGACTGGGGCGTTCACATCTGTGGCAATAAAGTAAATGTGTTGCCTTGATGTTTGTGGATGACGTGTCAGGTGTTGCGGACACAGCTCTGGGTTTACGGAGGAGAATGAATGCTTTAGGGCTATTTTGTAAGCAAACAGGGATGGGGGTTTATCTCAGAAATAAATAAGGTCGTGATCTTTAGAAACTCTGGGCCCTACGTACCTATGAACAGTGACAAACACTCATTCACTGCTCGCTGCTACCAGAATTAACAGTATTCATGAAGGCAATCATGTTCTGTTCCAATTTTGGACATTTTTGGAAACATGATGTTTCCAATTTTGGACATTTTTGGAAATATGATATTTCCAAATTGGAAATTTTGGGAAATCACAATTTTTTTTCTTGTGCATGTTCTGACAATATTCTTCTGCTATTTCAGCTAAAGCAGTGTTTGAAAATATCACTGGTGAGTACTGCATGACTTCGAAAACGATTTTCTAATGATGACCACCATGAAAGTCTTCATATTGACATACTCCATGCAAAGGATTCAGTAATCCGGACACATGTTAATGCGGGCTATTTGTATTGCTTTCATTGTGTTATAGCACAATAAGTTGTGAAATATGATTAACTACTTACATAAAAAGCCTTTATATCTGGAAAGAGTCCCATGGTTTATATCTTAATTTACTCTTTGTCCCTTTAGATGCAACAAGGACGTTGATACAGTATCAAGACGCAAGGAAACATGTTTCGACGTATTATGAAAGATCAGCCCTAAAAATACTGAGAAGAACTGGATCTATATTCATCAAGGGAAAATCAGGCTCAGGAAAGTCCAACCTTGGTCTCAGGTTACTGGCGCATATCAACTCAGAAACTAAACGGACGCCTGTTGTAATCACATCTGCCTCTCAGTGGAATACCATTCCAAAGTCAGGAAAAGAAAACTATATTGTCATGTTGGATGATATATTTGGTTCCAGCAGTATGGTGCAAACACGTGTTGATGAATGGCTGGGAAAGTTCAATACCATGTGGCCATTCATAGAGACAGGAAGAATCTTCATAGTCTTAACATCAAGGCCTGAGATATATGACCAGTGTGCAAAACAACTAAACACAACCATACTTATGAGAAACATCAAATGTTTAACTCTGGACAAAGACGAGTTTAAGCTAAGAGAGAGTGAGAAGAAGAGATTTTTGAAGTTGTTTTGTGGGAAGTCTGGTTTCACCAAGGAAGACTTCCAGGAGATAGTAGAGAAAGCTGAGCCGCCCCTTGGGTTTCCACAATGTTGCAATTTCTTTGCCATCAGCAGACGAGCACAATCAAATGGCAAACATTTTTTCTTGAAACCGTATGAGTTTATCGCCCAAGAACTAGACATCTTGGAAGAGAGCGACCCTTTTGGGTACTTTGTGTTGCTGCTTGTGATGATTCATAACGGTCGATTGGGATCAAATGAGTTGGACTCCATCCGACCATCAGAGGACTTTCGTAAGGCAGTTCATGCTTTGAAAGACATTTACAAGCTGCCATGCATGCCATCACGCATCAACATAAGACAGAAAGCTGAATCACTAAGCGATGTCTATCTCATACATTGCAACAAAACTTTCCAGTTTTGTCATCAATCAATATTTGATGTTTTATTTCTGAAAGTGAGTCAAAAAGATCATTCAGTTTGTATGAAGATATGCCCAGCCCGTTTGTTGGTTGAACATGTGAGAGCACAAAAACAAGAACACCTTTCTTCAACCAGTGGTATGTTAGAGATCCCATTCGAGAGCTTTGGTTTATTAGCTGATAGAATCACTTCAATACTGTTGTCAGATGAGGATATTGAAGTACTTGACCATCAGTCATTACGAGAAACATGTTTCGTCCAGTTCTTGTTTCACAAATGGTGCAAAGATGTTGCTGTATCTAAACTGTTCAAGGCCACTTTCAAACACGTTTTGAAGGCAGAAGTGCCCAATCCTTGTAGAGAAGGTGAAATGATTTCATTGTTTGAATGTGATAGTATGCTGTCGTGCATGGCATTAAAGGGAAACACTGAACTTGTGAGCTTACTTATACCCGTTTCTGAACAATATTTGAATTCCTCAGTGCTTCAGCAGGTGCTTGCATGTGCCATATTTGGCTGCAAGCATCAGCTGTATGATATGCTAATGGCAATGGGAGTACAATTCAATGACGATTGTTTCCGAGCATTGTGTGCCATCCAAAAGAAAGATATGGATATAGCCAATCATGTTGTGTTTTCACCAGATGTGCAATATTTCAAGATGTCAGATTTTACCAACTTGTTCACAATTGCTTTTCTGAATCACAACCCGCAGATGGCAAAACTTCTTCTGAATCCCGACCCATTGCACTTGCCGATCTTTAGTGCATGTGTAAAAATGCTATTTCAGGTTTTGGAAGAGCTGTCTTATTCACAGAGCAGCATGTTTGAACTAAATGACTATAGAGATGAAGCATACACTACTGTCATTGAGGGGCTATTGAGGACGGGCTGCAAGATCGACCCAGAGTCCCTCCTACTTTGTGCAGCATGCCATGCAACAGCAACAGCCATGCGGTGTATATTCAAGGTATGCCCCCTCATTAACGTGAACAACATGCTTTGTGAAAACACTGCTCTTGAACTGGCGCTAGTTTATGGAGGAGCTGAATGTGTGTCATTACTTCTGAACCACGGTGCGGAAATATCTGTGACAGAAAAGAAATCATCAAAATCAAGTGTGTTACATATGGCAGCAAAGTCGAAAAGAAGTAGTAAACAGAAACTGGAAATGATGTTTGCAAAAATTGTGGCAGATCCAAAAACTACTGATGTTCACAACCAGGCAGGCACAGATATGCAACAAACAGCTATCGACATAAACGGCAAAGAGCGAACGAAAGACATTTCAATCCCCATGAGATTAGAACATTTAGTAAATAAAATAAATCTGTACAAACAGACACCACTTCACGTGGCAGCCGCTGCTGGAAACGCAGATTCAGTTGAATTCTTGATACGTGCTGGAGCTAGGATAAATGATCAAGGTGATTTTAACATGACCCCACTTCACATGGCCATGATGGTAGGTCATGCGGAGTGTATCACACACCTTATAGAAGCAAATGCATCTTTGGGAATTAGGGACGAGTTCCAAACTCTTCCTTTAGACATAACATTTGATAGCAGCATCAGTTCCTTGAAGGCAATTGTTTCAACTCTGAAAACAAGCTTAGAAAACAATAGAGAACTCAGTGGTCCCTTGCTCATAGCCGTTCAAAATAATGAACTAGACAAAGTAAAGCTGCTGTGCGGGAATGGAGCTGATGTGAATTCGAACTTTGCTGATGGAACTCTATTACATCACGCAGTTGAGACAAGTGATATCGACATGGTGATGTACCTATGTGAGGAGGGGGCAAGTGTTCATGCCACTGATATTGATGGGCATTCTGTTGTTCACAGGGCAGTCACGTCAGAAATTGAACCAGTGGAAAAACTGATGTATCTACTTGATGAGAGACATGCACCTGTTAATGTTGAAGACAGAAGCTATAAACAAACTGCCTTGTTTTCAGCGGTGTTATCAGGAGATGATGAAATTGTCGAACTTTTGATAGAACGACAGTTCAATCATATGCATACCAATATCCATGGCTATTCGGTTCTTCATGCACTCTGTCTTCAAACGAATTTCAATGAATCCGTTTTTAAAGTGTTGTTAACATTTGATCACCAATTTCTGAACATCCAGTCTAATGAAGGCAGTACTGCTCTTCACATACTTGCAACAAACGACAATGCATATGGCATGAAAATGTTACTGACGAGAGGCGCTGACCACTCTATTCAAGACGTTGGCGGTATGACCCCATTTCATGTTGCTGCGTTGTGGAGTGTTGATTGCCTACAGCTTCTGCTCCATTTTGAGGCAGACCCGCACATCAAGGACTCCAAACGTCGTACTGTACTCCACCATGCTGCAAAGGCAAGTAGCACCAGTAGCCTGGAACACCTCGTTACATCAAAACTAGATTTAAATTCGGTTGATGAAGATGGATGGACAGCACTTCACTCGGCTGCGGAATATGGACGCAGAGACAACATCAAACTACTGTTGGACAACGGGGCTGATCTGTACATTCAGGACAATCAAGGGAGAACAGCCCTCCATGTTGGGTGTGAAGAAGGGCATTGCCAAGCTGTCGATTTACTTCTACAGACAATGTCAAACCCGAACGTACTGGACGAAAGAATGAGATCGCCACTTCATTTCGCTGCAAGAAGGGGAAGTAGCGACAATGTGAAGCTCTTGCTAGACAAAGGAGCAAACCCTTTTGAGAAAGACCTGAAAGGGAGAATACCACTTCATCTAGCTGTCAAAACCAATGATAGTCAATGTGTAAAGTTGTTGATCGCTGCGAAATCGGATGTATGTGCTGCTGATAAAAATGGCGACTCTCCCTCTTCATCTTGTAACCAGAAGGACTCCCAGCTCCAGCTTTGAACTGCTTCTTGAAAACGGTGCCAGTTCCAACATTCAGAATAATGACGGAAACACGGCACTTCATCTTGCAGTTTCCAGGGGATTAAACAAATACGTGAAATGTCTTTTAGAAAACGGTTCAAATCCATGTGTACAGAACCACACAGAACAAACGCCATTACAGGTTGTTACTAAAAGGGGGAATCAGGACTGTGTCCGTCTTCTGTTACAATATGGCGCCAATGCCTCTGTGTGTGATACGTAAGGAAGAGGCCTTGATCACTTAGAACTGAAGTCTTTACAACTTACAAGTTAAGTGCTTAATAGACTCACTCACCTAATGAATACAGTATGCTTGTTTGTAGCATTGATGAAATTAACGAAAATGCCTGAAATAGTGACGTATCTGTTTGACGTGAGACAATAACTTCCCATTGTAGCATCATGAACCCATTGTAGAACTGTCATATTTTCAGCAGGGAGATCAGGAGATGATGAACTTGTGGAACGTAGGCCAACATTTCAATAATCTGTATACATATGCATGTGGATATAGCTCGACATAAGAAGATTGATTCTAAGGAAATTACATCAAATCACTTTTACTATGTGTTGTAAATGTGGATGAACAAACATAGCGTGATGCTTTAAGATTTGTATTGTGTGTGTGTGTGTGTGTGTGTGTGTGTGCATGTGTGTGCATATGCGTGCGCGTGCGGGCGTGCGGGCGTTCGGGCGTTCGGGCGTTCGGGCGTTTAGGCGTGCTTTGTATCCTCTATTCCATATTATTGTTTTCTTATATGACAAGGACCGTAAACCGGTGGCTTGTGGTATTTAACACTACTTAACCGGAAATGAATAAACATGTGACTGTACTTATCCTGGGCATGATGAGGGCTTGATAGGATAGCTACCTTCATTTATCATGTGTTTAAAGAAATGTGACTGAAGAGCTTTAACAATTATTTTGTAATTGTAGCTAGATTTGCGGGATGTCACAACAAAGCTCAGTATTATCTGAAGCCTTTTTGTACAGTCCGGTTTTGCTATACCTTGATAATATTTTTATGTGAGTGTCCCTCCGTGACATAATTCGTTGGAATTAGGATGTACTTTATACACAACCTACGTTTTCGTCAAGCAAAGGTGAGAACATCAACGAACTTTTTAACTGGAGAAAATCACAAATCACTCGGTTGTCTTCTAAGGGTATAATGGCCAGTTTTGACGAAGGTCGTGTAAGAGACAAGTTTTGTGAAAAAAGGTGATTTCACTAAAAATCCCTACGAACGTATAAAAGATGACAGCCGTCATATAGTTAAGAAAGGACTAAACATTGGCAGCATCATCCATCAGATAAGCGCCATACTACTTTCTTCAACGTGGTTTGGGGGCGATGGGCTAGCCTTGTGGTTAAAGCGTTTGCTCGTCACAAATGTTATGCAGACAAAGTAAAGTATTGGATGTACACACAGGTTGTACGCGCATACCACCATAAAGGCATGTATATTGTTATAAATACATCAGTCAAGAGTTATTTTTTCCACTCTGCATTTTAATTATTATCATAAAAATATGGACATCAAAACGAAAACAATCTTTCTTTCCGGTTAACTGTTACCTCTGCCACAATGAGTGATTGAGTGAGTATGGTTTTACGCCGCTTTTTAACAATATTCCATCAATATCACAGCGGGGGACACCAGAAATGGGCTTCGCACATTGTACCCATGTGGGGAATCGAACCCAGGTCTTCGGCGTGAAGAGCGAACGCTTTAACCACTAGGCTACCCCACCGCCCACTGCCACAATGAGATGTGCTGATCTCACACAGTTTAAACAAAAGATGTGCCTTGTATTTCATGTTGGAAATGTCTACACACATAGTAATACATACTTCATGATATAGGTGACTTTCAAAAATATCATAAAAGGTGAAAAACTATATATATTTGTGTATTTATCGTTCACGATGTTTGTACGATTTCCTGCGCAAGCAGCGGATTCCGGCTGAAAGGTAGAGATATGGCCACTTTGTTGTGTAGAAAAATAGGCATATTGTCACTGTCACTGAGGAATATCTTTATCATCATTCAACATTAAGGTGAAACACCATTGAAGGAAATTCTTCAGGCGTCTTCCTTCATTAAAGAGAAGAACGCGTAGGTACGTGATTTGCAAATTAGCTTTTGGTAGTGGTGTAATACACTTCGATCGTGGAACGAAAGAAGCGATATAGAGCCGTGATTATCAGCAAATCAGGATCAGTGATCCATCAGGGTTATTGCCTAACTCTACCCTGACTTCACTAAATACTGGATTGTGATTTGTTAATTATAGTTATATACCTCTGATTTTCCAACACAGTGTGTATTTTTAAAAAAAAATCTTAATAAACCTTTATTCAGATTTAGATGAATCTATAGTTTCATCGAAAAATAATCGACAAGAAATACCCTTTGCCCAATATGTGCCATGGAGGCACTAGCAATTTATTGAATTTTAAGAACAGAAGGTGTTGTGCATGAGTATCAATGTATAAAATGCGCAGGGTACAACATGTAAATATTGAATAATTCTTTTATTGAATTTCATTGAATAAAAATATGTAAAATGTGCATTTCTATGAATCCTTGTTTGTAACCACACACACACACGCACGCACGCACGCACGCACGCATGCACGCACGCACGCATGCACGCACGCACGCACACACACACACACATCCGGACGTAAAACAAGATTGAGAACAATCTCACACGCACCCTTTAAACTCCAAGTGGATTTCACTGACATGAACAAAGACATGCTACCTTTGCACCACTTAAAGGACACCAACCCGACATCTTTCTCAATACTCACGGCCACAAATATTGACCCATTTCATATACCCATAGCAGCACCCACAACACCCAACTGGCACCCATCTCAGGACCCACGACGATCCAAGTTAGCAATCCCTTCCTCCTATATTTCCTGTGTAGATGTATTCAGTCTACCTATGTTAGTTAATGCTGTTGCTATAGACCCAAGGACCAAGCATGCTCCTGAAATGAAGAAACAAAACAAAAAAGTTATCCTGAAAGTGACTATTTAAACGACCTTTACACAAATATCCAATACTCAGTTGAGTTTCTGTGCATGTTGAAAACAGGAGATCCTTCTTTGTTTGTAGATTACTGTCACAGATTGAATACAAGTTATGTTCCATATGTACATTTGTCATGAAATCACGATAGGACGAGACGTCTGTCTGTATCTTTGTTTGTAGATTACTGTTACAGATTGAATAGAAGTTATGTTCCATATGTACATTTGCCATGCAATCACGATAGGACGAGACGTCCTGTCTGTATCTTTGTTTGTAGATTACTGTTACAGATTGAATAGAATTTATGTTCCATATGTACATTTGTCATGAAATCACGATAGGACGAGACGTCTGTCTGTATCTTTGTTTGTAGATTACTGTTACAAATTGAATAGAATTTATGTTCCATATCTACAATTGTCATGAAATCACGATAGGACGAGACGTCTGTCTGTCTCTTTGTTTGTAGATTACTGTTACAGATTGAATAGAATTTATGTTCCATATGTACATTTGCCATGCAATCACGATAGGACGAGACGTCTGTCTGTATCTTTGTTTGTAGATTACTGTTACAGATTGAATAGAATTTATGTTCCATATGTACATTTGTCATGAAATCACGATAGGACGAGACGTCTGTCTGTATCTTTGTTTGTAGATTACTGTTACAAATTGAATAGAAGTTATGTTCCATATCTACAATTGTCATGAAATCACGATAGGACGAGACGTCTGTCTGTCTCTTTGTTTGTAGATTACTGTTACAGATTGAATAGAATTTATGTTCCATATCTACAATTGTCATGAAATCACGATAGGACGAGACGTCTGTCTGTCTCTTTGTTTGTAGATTACTGTTACAGATTGTAGTAGTATATACAATGGGGTTCTGGATCACTTTCAACCAAAGCCTCTGCAAAGCCTTATTTGGTAAATAAGGCTTTTGTCGGGCCCTTAGCTCTTGCTACCATTTCCCCTACTATGAAAAAGTTTGGGCCGATAGCGGTTCTGGATCACTTTCAACCAAAGCCTCTGCAAAGCCTTATTTCACAAGTAAGGCTTTGGTCGGACCCTTAGCTCTTGCTACCATTACCCCTACTACAAAAGTTGGGGGATGCGAACGCACCTCCTAGCCGCGCCGGGGGCATGGCTGGAGTGTGTTGGTATCCTGGGATTGCATGGGCTGCGTCTAACGTGCCGCTATGGCACTATTGTGCCGCTATGGCACTATTGTGCCGCTATACCATGTTTACCTCGATGAAACAGTTTAATGTGAATCGCCTATGATCTCTTTGGTGTTTGTAATAAAGGCTTGCCGGGCTTTTTTCACCCCTTGTTCTATGTACTTTTTTTTCTCGTCCTCGCTGATAGTAGACTTACGAGACTTGGATCGAATCTCTTGTTTCATTTTGTTATATTTTGTGAGTTCAGAGAGTATTGAACTAAACTCATCCTCTGAGATCTTACTGTCAGTGAGTGCAGTGGAAATACGCTCACTTACTGTGTTCAGCTTTGCTTCAGCCAGAACCCTGATCTCGTCGTGTTTCAATGCCTTACGATGCAGTCTACGTGATGCCAACTTAAGCACCAACCCTAACACCCCTGCCACCCCAGCTGTTATTTCAATACCTAGTACTATAGGTGCAGCCACGATGGTAGCTAACAACCCAACACCTGCCGCTCCCAGCCCCATGCTGGTTGCCATAAGGGCAGCGTCAGCCCCCGTCCACGATATTGAAAGCTCTATGGTACTTTTTACATAGTGCTTTACGTGTGTCGCGGTCTTGCTCTAGTTGACGTTTTACATCACATAACTGCCTCAGCGGAACCCGTCTACGGTTTCCAGGGTCTTCGCTACTTCCTCTACGACTGGGTATAGCCCCATCCTATAATATATATTACAAAAGATAATTTAATTGAGTTTCAGTTAGTCGTTTGTCAATGTACCTGAGGTTTATAAAACTGAGATTCTCGTATGTGTAGATAAGGGAAGGGTCAATAGGTAACTTTTGGTATATCTCAACACCAAAGCCGTATATTATTGGGGGTAGTAATCCCTGTTGGGAGCTTCCAAATTGTATAATGAATCTGCAACGTGTAAAACCACTTTCTGCAAGTAAGTCACTCCAACGTATTGTTACACCGGGTAAAATCTGCAAGTTTGGGGATGGGACACGTTCATTCGAATTAAACTTACCCTTGTGAGCGACTTTTACGATGAGTGTGGAGCCTGGTTCCATAGCCCTAACCCCTACTATGTTATGATGGTGGGTGGCTATTAACTGGGATTGCCTGGGTGAAATTAACAGGATGTCCTTAGGTAAATAGTCGGAGTCAGAAAGTATCACTTTTCCAGTTGGAATGAAAGACGTGATCAAGGTACCGTTGTTCTTAATTTCAGAGACATAACCATCTTTGTCTAATGAGATATAAGGTGAGGCGAGGGTTAAGTTGAGTAACCATTCAGGCTCTTTAAAATAAAATAACGGCACCCGCCTATACACGTTGTCTTTCAAGTGTAGGATGTATGAGCCATCTTCCTCACCAGGCTGATCGAATCCCTCCGTGTCCCCTAGGCCCTCGAGTGTGGGCTTGGGTAGATGATCGGCCATTGCTGCCCGCCTATACACGTTGTCTTTCAAGTGTAGGATGTATGAGCCACCTTCCTCACCAGGCTGATCGAATCCCTCCGTGTCCCCTAGGTCATTAAGCGTAGTGTTGGGCCGATGACTGGTCATTGCTATAATACTATTACGATATAATTTCCAACTGGTTTTCTGATAATAGTTCAGGGGTTAACTTCACCCCCATGAAGTGTATGTTGTCAGGTAGGAAGATCTTGGTTAGTGATATAGTGTTTTCCACGATCACGGTGACACCCTGCAGACTGGTGTTGGAGCCGACACCCACCCGCACGTAAACTGTGCAAACGTGATACTGGTGTCGTTTCACCCACCCAAGTTTGATCCCCTTCACGATCTCGACATCATTCCCCGATGGTTCCCCTAGGTAGACTTTGATGATCAGTGTTGAGTTCGCCGGTAGACTCTCTAGTATCCTGACCACGCCTTCAAATTCAGACACCAACTGCAATGTCACGTTTTGCATGCCCGCTTTACTCGATAGCATGTGGGCTGCCATACTGGCGACTGGGCTGATGACTACGCTTACGTCTCTGAGTCGGGACGTAAGCCACGAGCAGGGTTCCGTTGTTAACGACTTTGTTTAGGTGGTTGTCTTTGTTATCCGTGAACACATAGGGGGAGCCGAGCCTAATATTGAGAAACCAGTCGTCTTTATCTGGTAACAACACCCACTTGTCATCTTCGGTGAAGACGAGCATATATGGCTTGTTTCGGGCGACGGTAGTGCTCTCAACATCGTCTAAGTCGAACAGTTTGCCCCCGAACGATGGGTATATTATCCAATTATCATTACCGGTGGTGACTAGGGTGTACTTAGTGTTGACTACCGCTCTTGAGGTATCTACTATATCACCTAGGGCTCCACCGGAGGGGACTTCAACGCGTTTGTAAATGTTGTTTTTCAGTTGCAAGGCGTACAATTTACCATCTACTCCGGGAGCGTCGAAACCGCGTGTGTCCCCGAGGTCGGAGATCCCCACATTGACGCATTTTTTCACCCCGGGCCCTTGTGCGCTGGTCATTTTATGTGAAGCGTTAAGCTGAGGTATCCTATATTCACGGGATTATGATTTATATCTAACACCGATATTATCAGCTCAGGTATGTTGCCCTGAGTCAACCTCTTATACTGCCGCGGTGAAAACGACTCGGTTCTACCGTCGTTGTATTTCTCCGTTTTCACCGGCACGGCTCTCAGTATAGTGGAAGGGTGACCCCCTTGAATGTTGTACGTTGTGCTCACCTGACCTAGATGAATGTACAGCTCTCGGTACGGTACTAGGTCGGGTAACTTCGTGCCTGTGACGGTTGTTGTTGGTTTTATCTCGTCAGGTGACATACCGAGTGTCTTCGCCAATGGCCGGCCGAGCCTCAAGGAGTTTCTTCCGTTGTTGATTAACACCACTGTGCCGTTTGAGTCGTTCATCTTGAGTTCGGCTCCCAGGGTTTGAAGACCTCATCGGCTTAGCGAGCACACGCTGTAGTAGCCGTCAGTTATCTGGCTGCGAGTTCCACTAACGAACAGCTTATTGTTGCTGGCGTTGATGTTAGTCCATTCGCGGTAGGTAGGTGATATCGCCAGAGTCGCGACTTCGAGTTGACGGACGTATTATCGATCGCGTGCGTCAGCTGAATGGCCTCACCGCTTCGTTATTCCTGGAAGTGTTATGTACATGTTAGAGTATATATGCTCATTATATAATAGTTTTAAAATGTATTCCCAAGGATTCCCCTGGTGTGTTTTACCCTAAACTGGACATAGATTTCTCACCCATGAAGATCGCGGTTGCTGATGGGATGTATTTCAACGCCCAGCTTTTAGATGTGTTCAGCCTGTATAAATTTTCGGTGACTAACGCTAAGGTAGTTCATGCTTGGTTCAACAACCCGATGCAGTTCTGGCAGAATCAACTCAACTTCGCCGTGTGGTGCGCTACAGCGGGTGTGGTGTGACATTGACCGACACTTTCGGCGGGGACGCTGAGTCAGTCTGTGTTCAAGTTCCGTGTACTACCAGGTCAGGCGTATCCTTAAAGAAATCAGCGTCCCGCTCCCACAGGACAATGCATGGAACCCATTAAACAACAAGTACGATAGGCGAGCCTACGAACGTATTTGCAACGAATTCGAACTAAACCCGAAGACGGATTGGCGTTTGCCGGGGCCGAACCACGGGTTGGGTATCCCCATCGTTCACCAAATGCCCTTGTGGAAGCCAGCAAACTGCTGGTGAAGATTGGGGATACAAGTCGTATCATCTCTTCACAACCAACGAGTGGGATGACCGTTACATGGCTTTCAATGCCAA